AAAAAAAAAAAAAAAAACCAGCAAGGAAAGAAACTCAAGAGCTCAGAAAACAGAAGGGTTGTTAATGTGTCTGACCTTATTTTGATATAAATTAATTTTTAAGGATGACAAACATACCTGAGCACTTAAATGCTTCTGCACGTGCACTAACACATGCACGTCTCCATCTTTACTTGATGTTGATGAAGAGGAGGAGGGCAGACTGTCCAATGAGACGGGCTTATGGAGTCCGTTACTGGGGGGCAGTGGAGCGTCAATGCTGTGAGATGATGCTTGTGCACCCTCAGTGCTGTAATACTCCTTGAGTAAGCGTTTCCTCTGCAGGCGTGCAACAGCTTCTACTGATGTACTCGGGGACAGACCTGATCCAGCAGCACCTCTCAGCTTCTCCTGGTGCTGGACAAGCTTCGCCGGCTGACACGCCCACACCGTGAGGGGGAAGGAGTCCACAAAGGGCTGCGGCCGCCCTTTGCCTCCCCGGGTGCCCTCGTAGTCCACCCAGAACTGGGCAAAGTGCAGCGCCCAAAAGTCTGTGGCGGCCGGCATCTTGAGGGAGTTTGTGCCCAGCGTCGGCACCACCAGGCCCCGGTAGATTTCGTGAAGCTTGGTGTCTTGTTCGTGCGCGTGAAGCTGGAAGACGGGATGGAGGAGGGGTAGGGAGGAGGAGGAGCGAGGGAATGAGGAGAAAGATGAAGAGAAGAAAGGCTCCTCTTCAAAGGACTGCAGCAGGGCCTCGAGGTGCGAGCGGGTGCAGTTGGCAGGGTGTCGGGTGTTAGTGGCCACCATCTCTGAAGTCTGTATGGAGATGGAGCGAGGCAGGTCAGGAGCACAGGAGGCGTCTCGATCAGTGGGGATCACCAGCTGATGGGAAGCACAAACCAAGAATTAGGGATAAATACCATGAGATTAAGGTAAAAGATGAATAAAGATCACGTCTGCCGTCATCTTCACCTTGAGCATGAGGCCATCGATCTTGATGTCCACATGCTCGTCAGGTTTCTGCGAGTCGTTGAGCTTGTAAATCTCCATGAACTGCTCCAGACTCTGCCTGAGGTCAAGGGCGAAAAGATTGATCCACACCAGGCTGCGAGGATCCAGGACAAGCTGCAGGGCGTTCAGCTGGGCATACAGGTTAGGACATGGGACTGGAGGAGCAGGAGGAAGGGAACATTGAAAGTCATCGAGACAGAAACGAAGGACAGAGAATAATAATCTTTTTTTTGCAATGCTGTGTTTGGAAATTTGACCACAGGATCATTACTCAGAGAAGAAATCCTCTAAATGTTCACACAATGTTTCCTAATGGGGAGAATCTGTGAGAAATCCATAATATGAATTAATTGGGTGATCCCTCATTCAGAGCACTGAGTGCAATTCAGAAAAATCAATGTCCTCAGGCACACAGGACCTGACACAGCTGAATGAACGAGCTGAACAGATCCTAAAGGGAGGTGAGGAAAAGAGGAGTCGCTGGCAGTAGAAAATCAGCTTTTTACACAGCTCATGATTCACTAATAAAGATTAACCATTCTAATACAAGAAGCTGCTTTCATGATTTTACTGTAGCTCGGGTGTTAAAACACAGAAGTCGTACTGGGGTAGTCTTTTCCGTCAAGGAAGTAGTACTCTGTGAACTCGGCGTGGATGGCTGGCATCTCTGGGGGAAGGTACAAGGACTTCTTATTACAGGAAATCATGGTTTTGGGGCTGGAGCGACGTTGGTCTGCCGTCGACACCTGCAACACAAAATAGACAAAGTTGGTAAAGGAGAGAGGAGAAGCATTAGTCTCAGTGACTGCGTATTTGAAGCTTTGCACGACTGTGTAGGTCTGTGGTGACCTGATAGATGCTGAAGTCAGCCATCCTGAGAACGAACGAGCTGGACATGAGCTGGGTCTTGGGCGTTTGCGGGGGAGGAGGACTGAAGGAACTGCTCGAACAGGTGTTTATTTTACCTGAAGAACAAAGAAAGCGATGGAAGAGAAGAGAGAGAAAGAGAGGGGTATAAAAATGAAAAAAGAACAACCAAGAAGGAGACAAACAGATCGACCACTCAGTTCTCCGATAGCAAACCACTGGGCCTGGCAAAAAAGGTGTGCATCACCGCACAAGTCTGCGCGCACACACACCGCGGTACCTGGCTCTAGGCACCAGCAGCACTGGGCTGGAGGCTGTGTGTGTGGGCTCCACTCTAGGAGTCCTTCATCTGCCTCCCTAAGCCCTACTCCTCCTCCTGATCTCTCCTGACTTCCTAGAGGCCCATAAACATCGTCCCTAAGGGACACTGGAGGACAGAAAACCCACATAAATGCTGGTATGGTGCTGCGTTTCCACCAAAAACACACACCTACAACAGGTTGAGGAAAAACTGTTACCATGCTGTGGGGAGCCGTGTGCAGGGGCCGCGCCTGGCTGGTCTCGAACTGCACTCTTTAGCATCTCCACGTTGGACTTGAACTCATCGAGAAGGTTCCGCGCCCAGCCCTCCCTGGTCTTAGTGGCTTCGCTGTAGTGCATCCAGTGGGCACAGCTTTCACCTGGGGATGTTGGAGAGTGTGAGAGTGGGACAATGGGTGGCAAACTGAGCTAACAGTGATGAAAACAGACAGTAAGTATTGCAGTGCAGTGAATAGGTTGCAGTGACTTCATGGTGAGCTGTTATTGGCCATGATTCACACCTGCTCTGTGGAGAGGGTAGTAGTCCAGAGTGATGGAGCTGAAGGAAAGCTGCATGGCCCCTCCTGTTATCCTCTTGTTAATCACTGCACAGTGGACGGAAAACCAGAAATTTAAAAAAGCATCAATGTTAGGGTGCATTAATGTCTGTTGTGAAAAGAAAGTACTTGTAAATCTGTGTCTATGGTACCTTTGTCCTTTGCATGGATGTCATCACAGATGTGCAGGTCCAGATGTGTGATCTGGAGGTGGTGGGACGTCTCGCATACATCGTAGGCGCTGAACAGCTTGGCCATGGTCGCGGTCTGATCAGCGGCTGTGGACGCCTGCTGGGTTCGTACCTGCTGGGCTGTGGGCGGCGCTGAAGACGCCTGGTGAATGAAGATGCAAATATCTCAAATAATGTGATTGTTTTTCTTGTGCTGCTGATGTTCTGGTACAGTTGACAATCACAGTGGTGGTCTTTATATTTTTCATGCTGCTGTATTGTGTCTGGTAATGACAGGTCGTTTGTTGGCCTGTACAGAGCTAACACCCAATCTGGTTCAAAATAACAGCAGATTCAGGCAGTACTTCTTCCATCCAGCAGATGGCGTGTCAGACCAAATTACAGAAAACACACCAAGTACTGAACAGGAAATCAGATGTGGCTATCTGTGATCTATCTGTGTGAGTTATGAATGTATGCATGTGTTTCCAGGGCAAAACAATAGGAAACAAAGATGAGAGGCAATGGCAGCAACAGTGAGAGACAAAGATGGTGAAGGAAGATGATACAGAGATGACAGACAGAGGAAATACTATCAAACTGTCACTGTCAAACGTTACATTGCACAGCCACACAGGGTGGAGACACTAACAAGTGTGAGGGACAAAGAGAGAAGGAGGCAAATCTGAAATTTAGTTTGAGGGGCCAGTAGTTGGATTTCGTGGCCACGCTTGTGCGAGTGCATGATGATCATTGGGCTGTTTTGGTGCTTCTCCAGCATGGGTACAGAAGTCTTTATCTGACTGTGTAAAAGAGATTGTGGTGGAGATAGGAGCACAATGAGAGACACAGACTCGAGCAAAAAGGAAGATAAGAGTGCAGTTGCAGGAAGAGAGAAACTAACTGAGCCTGTGAAGAAGAAAAAGAAATACTTTACCAATAACATAACGGCTGATGAAATGCCTGTGGCTGTGGTACGAGGGGGTGCTATGTTGTGAGTGTGAGTGTGTGTGTGTGTGTGTGAGTGTGTGTGTGTGAGTGTGTGTGTGTGTGTGAGTGTATTGTAGGCAATGTGGACGAATCTAAATTTGTTACCAGGTCAACATTATTTAAGAACAAATCGTGTGCTGGTCTGAGCAACAGAGGGAGTTGGTAAAGATTGTCTCTGGAGCCTCGTCTACATGTGTTAACCCCTCAGTCATGCTGTGTATGTGTACCTGGTCCTCTGTGGCCATGCTCTTCCTCTGCTGGGCGGACTTCTCCATGGCCTCGCTGAGGGACTTGGCGTACTGCACCATGGCTTTGAGCTGGGAGTCGGTCAGCACCCAGAGCAGGTCATCCAGGATCAGAATCAGCTTGGAGGCCACCACGTTACAGTCCTTTATCTGTGTCAGACAGAATCCATGGTGTTAACATTCATCACGCAGGTGTGGCTAGCTGGAGGGCTTCATTTAATTGTAGTTAAATTCCTTTATTGTGCAAATTCACTGGAACTGAACTGAACTTTGTTTAGAGGTAAAATCTTGGTTCAGCAGTTTGACTATAAAAGCCTAAAGAAACAAATGTGGTTAAATATTTTCAAACGACAAATAAAAGCAGTTTCGGCACTTGATACTGAATTATATTAAATATTCAACACATGCATTAGGTTTTTTTTTTGTTAAAGTAAACACTATTCGTGTGATGAATGGCTCCTCGAGCCGCCTGGAGTTCAAACAGAGGGACTATTGTTCACAGCAACAACAACAGGATGTTGCTCACAGCCGCTTGTGTTTGATATCTGGTTCATCAAATTTTGTGTGGTTTAAATTTCTGAATCTGTGTTTGTTTCTGACCCGTCGCTTGAGAGTGACTCGAATCTTGGACTGGTTGGTGATGAGGCGGATGGGGGCGCTCAACATCTCGTGCTCGGCGCTCTGGATGGCGTCTGCCTCAATGCGGATCATCTGCCAGCTTATCTCCTTAAACGTCAGGATCTGGACCAAACAGGCAGGATTCCATTTAGAAAACATGACAACCTCGTAGTCTTTACTCAGATATAAAAAATGTACTGACCTCTCCCCTCTGAGGGTCCTGGATGCGGGTGAACCGCAGGTCGCCGATGCTCCAGCTGGTGTTGACGCTGTAGACCTGCAGCTGCGAGAGCTCAAAGGAGGCGTTGAAGGCCTTGGCACTGATCCTGATCACTATGGAGTTGATGGAAAGAGATATCCCCTCCACCACCTTCTCAGCAAAGCCATATTCACTGGATCACAGACACACAGGTGGACATTAGTGGAGGGACGTGAGGAAAACAAGGTGGTGAGAATTGCTTAGCAACAAATGGAGAGAAACGTACTATGAGCCAGGATCAGGATAAACAGATTCTAGATCAGACTTACAAGTCAGTGGTCACTTTATCAGTCACATTTCCTTATCTAGACATCTATTCATTACTTTATTTAAGTGAATAAAATATACAATATACATAAAAGACCCCCAACTTAAATTGAATATCACTCAAATTAATTTAGAATGTGTCCATGTGCTGAACAACATTTGAAATGGATAAAACTTGTGTAAAAAAAAAACAATCACAGAGCTCACCTCTGTCCGGATGCTGTTGCTATGGGAGACGGGCCGTTGGGGGGGCGAGGTTCATCACAGGTACTCATCTCCATCACCACTTTATCCAGGGTCTGAAACAAGAGGCAAGTCACAGGCTCAAAAACACATTTACACTGAGGTCTCTTCTTTTTTTCCATTAATGCCATGCTGCTGAGGCCAACCTACATCCTCCTGTTTTTATATTGTTTGCACCTCTCGTTTCTTCATATAAAACAAACATGGTAACCAAGGTAAATACAATGTCTGACTGAAGAATAGCTGGACATTTGTAGTATAGTTCAGTAGATTAACATGAAGACGCGAGAGCTGCTGACAGATTGTTGACTTGCACTCACTTTTCACTCTGTTGTGTAATATTTCCTTGCCATCGTTGGAGGTGTGATATCATTGTGTTCACCAATAGCGGATTCCGTTAGGTGCCCTTTAAGACAATGTATAATGTGGTCGTGATAAAGATTATATGTAATGTGATTATTTTCTGTTTTTCTGTACTGGATGTTTATATCAGGACTGAGACTTGTGGACCACACACTACGCTTTGTTGAGGCGAGTGTTGGAAAAAGTGGCGTAGGTTTCATTCTGTTGTTGTTGGTTTCCATCAGTCTGTGTGCTGGGACTCGCAGCTACCTGGGGACTGGGACCAGCCTGGCGGTCTGTCAACCTGACACCTGCGCCCCGCTCAGCAAGGTGGCTGCCACTAGGGAGAAGCTGGCAGCAATGACGCTGATGCAAAGCAGGCTTGAGCGAAAATCTCTACGCAATCATGCAGAAAATGGACAACATTGAAGACGGCTTGTAACTCCTACAAAATCCAGGCTGAGGAGCTCTGGAAGACAAACCGAGCTCAGGACAAAAAGCTCAACACATTCGTGGTGTGTTTGTGAAGCTGTAGGCAAACCAGGTGTTGTATGACTCGTCTGTGAAACTTACCAAAGAGATTGGATGAGTCTTCAACTTTGTCCATGGTATCTGTGAATAAAATCAGAACAGTGGTTCAGCTTTTCAGCCTTAAAACATTCTGATCCTTGCAGCAAGCTGATCATTCTTTGTTCCTCCCAAATTAACAAAATAAATTACCAGTCTGTCGAATATACAAATTATTTCAAATGCAACTGAAATGCACCAAATTAAATCAAGTCAAAACAGCAGGAGAGGCAGCTGAGAGGTGGAGTAAAAAGAAAAGTGGAGACCGACAGGCAGTTCCATAATCCTCAACATGCAGCCTCTTGATTCACGTCTGTGTCAAATTATAAAGGACAAGAGATTAAACGTTCTTGTTCACTTGCAGTTATTTTCCACAGAGTGCCTCGTTCTTCAAGACGTCATAAATCAAAAGGTGAGAGACTTGGATTTGCTTCACTAATAGAATTAGACACATTTCATTCACATGCCTGAATTGTAGAATTACTGTGAGGTGCCAGTAGGGGGTGTACACTCATGTCTGTCACTTATTTATTACAGTTTACAACAGTGTGTGTATTTATGAGTGTGTGTGTGTAAGTAGAAGAGAATCACCTGCTGCTACAGAATTGATTTTCTAAACTTCATTCAACAATATCATCAATAGAGCAACTTTCATTTAGTATAAATCTGAGTGTGAGTCTTTTACAGGAAAGTGTTGTCTGTAACAGGAAGACACAAAGATGACAGAGATGTGAGGAAGTGAGATGCACATCTCTGATTTCTGCTCTCTCTCATTTTTACCAGTTTACCAGTAAACAGGGAAATACAGGCGGTGACACAAGTTTCCATTCACCAGCTCCACTGCTCAACAGAAATCGGATGCCCTGAATACTGCCTGTAAATCATGTGGGTATTATAGCTGCATTACAAAACAAACCAGATTAAGACAATAGTCTGAAGAGGATGCTGCCATTTGAAATTCTCTGATTATCCTAACCTGAGTAAAGTCATTGTCAGAATAAGCAATAATCAAATTAAGACATTCAATAAGCCAAAGAGTTGGTTTTGTTATTCAGATTACTATTGACATAACCACAAAGACCAGGACTCAAACATGAAGTATGTGTGGAAGAGTTAAGAAGAGCTGAGTCGTGCAGGAAAGTAGTGAGGAGGAAAAGAAGAGGTGGAAGGTTAGACTTTGGTCTGAATGAAAAATCCAGTCATGACGGAAACTGGAGCTCCATTCACTGTTTCCAGGGTGTGTCAGAGTCTGCTCATACACACGACTGGCGTCACATCAGGGGCACCACACAGCTCCGGCAGAGAGTGCATGCATTACAACTTAGACTCATTGGTTGTTAATAAGTGTGTGGACTTCACTTTATCCTGAACAATGTGCCTGTCTGTACCTAAACAGTAAAAATATAGTTTTCTTGGTTTCAGGCCTGAAGAGTAAACACATAAATCAGTTGTGGACACTAACTTGAATGTCGGTCGGCAATATCCATCTTATCTGTGTACTTTGATTTTAACAATAGCAATAATAGCAAAGTGACAAAGTCTAATTTAGAGAGTTTACACCTTCAAGCAATAAAGCTTGAAGTTTGACTTTTTTGGGAAAAACCAAGAGGCTTTTTTATGCATAGCTTTAAAAGAGAAGATTCGAATGTCCGTTTAACTGCAAATACCGAAACACAAAAGCAACATAAAATGACAATAAGCTCTTTTACGGAGGGTTACTGATGATTGCCTGGACTATTTCTTTCTTGGTCACAAATGGGCGGGTCAACTATCGAGGTAGAGCTGGTCGTCCCATAACCAGAAGGATGGTGGTTCAATTCCACGTGCTGTTTTTGCATTTCAATTTTTTTTATGTAGCAGCTATTTTCCCCTAACTCAGCCACCTGTATCTTCATATTTAATAAAAGAGAATCTACCTTCTCATCCTTTTCTACAGTAGAAAATCTTTTTCTAAAAAGGTCTAACTGTTCCTTTAAAATGCACAAACTGACTCAAGGACTGTGTCCCTCACCCGGATGGCGGCCTTGTTGCACTCCACGCGGTTGATGGCCAGCCAGGTGGGCAGGTCCAGCAGGCTCTGAAGAACCTCCTCATCCAGCTCCAGGTTGGTGAGCTGGCCCTCCCCCTTCAGCGTGCTGAGGTTGATCTTGTCTGGCGACAGGTTCTTAGCAAACCTGTGAGGAACAGATGAGAAGAGCAGCCTGTGAGCCTGGGAATATTTATAGAAGCAGGTTCTTGGCAAAGCAACGGAGGAACGAAACAAACCCCAACTGTTGGGCTTTGGTGTTTCGAATGAAAAGAGAAGGTTCCTTTTATTCCCCAAAACTCATTTTCAGGGCCAATCATTTCAGACTAAATCAGAGTTAATTAAATTTAAAGAAAAAAACCCACTTCCTTTAATAGTACACTCAAAAATAAACCCATAATTAAGGGTTGACAATCAGCTCAGCTACAAGAAAGGAAATAAATAATAAATCAAACTGAAACCAGAGTTGAGTTCAATACATTTTTCTGTGTGTTTAGGCTTTGTTAACTATTTCTCACTTTGTTTCCAGAGTTACATCTTAATCTGATAACGATATGGAGGAGAAAAGATCAAGGTACAGAGTGTTTACTAATGACAACACAATCGAGCTGCAATATAAAGGATCTAAAGGCACTAAAGGTCGAAATTAATCTTTTATTAAAGCAATAAGACAATATTGATATTTATAATCTCAGTGTCTTGAGGAAACATATCAAATTGTTGTGTACATATGTAGTGATTCTGTTTGTTTGGGCTATTTGCTCTTTGGCTTAAGTAAACAGACTCAATGTCCCTGACCTGAGTGTTTTCTGCAGCCATTCACTGTTTGATTATTGGTTAATAGTTAGCAGAGGGGTCAGACCCCGAATGGTTCTGTGCATCTCCACACAGCAGTTTAATATAATCGTGTAAAACATGGACAGAATTGATTTCACATTCTCTGGCTGTCAAGAGCAACACAGCTTCAACGATGTGATGTACAAAGGTCAAGTTCTGATATTTGTGCTTAATCTCCTGCTACACTTTCAGTGTGTTTAGTGGCTTGATGGTCATCCAGGGATTCAATTAAATCTGATAGCTAAAGTAGCGCTAAATGAGATTTGGTTATTTATCTAAAATGGAAGCAAATTCACTCTCTTTAAAACAGACAGTGCAGCAGAGCTCGGCTAATCTCTCACATGCACACGGTGCCAGATCAGAGTTTCACAACTAACACAGATCACTGACCTGCTAATCGAGGCCGTAACATCCAGACAACAGGATGGAGCTTCAGTGTTTCACTGCCTTACTAACTTACATACACACTGTTAGTGTCACTAACTTAGATACACACTGACAGGAATGTGAGTAACTGTGCACATGACAGAACAATAGCACCAGGTTGCATTTGAAATCAATATCAGTGGGAATACAATAACTGATTTACCGCACTGATAAGATAACAATGCTGCTTTCATTTTCCCTGAAGTCCGCTGCAGTATTTCCTCACTCACATATCACATTATCTCCAATACTATGTGAAAACTACGACAGGAATGTTTCATCACAACAGGAGAGAACAAATCCCGACAATAACATATAGCCATCGTTTCAGTGCAGGGGAATCTTGGCAGCCCACTGTGACTGACTTATATATTTTAACTGACAGTGACAACACTGAAAACTAATGTGGTTTGGTTATGTCATGGTTCGATGTCTGAATGAGGCGTGTATAGACACTCGCCTTTTGAATTATTCAGTCTGTCAAATTCCTGCTTCTTTCCACTCAACACCTTCTCCTGACAGTGTTCAATTCTTCTCTAATTCAACATCCCTGTGAATTATTCAGCGGCAGCCGCACCAACACAAATAATATTATGTGCACATGTTCTCACAAGGGGCACAACACACACAGTTAGTTTGTCTCTCTGAGTTGGATGTTGTTGCTGGAGTTTCTCAGCCGTGTGACCAGTGAAATATTCATCCCCGCTGCTGATCAAGTATCAACCAGCTCGCCAGCTAACCTCACCCACCCGCTCGCTCGCTCCTTATCTGGCTTCTCTGCCACCTCCTGCTTCCTCTCCTCTTCCTCCAAACTGATAAATAAGCCAAAACTTAGATCAAGTAATATGTTGTTGATCAGCTGTCTAATATGAAGCACGAACGCTCAGTAAGCAAAGTTACACAGACAGGTTGCCGACGTATTAGTGTGAGAACAGCAGTAAGAGGCAGAGGGTATTAAGTTCACACTCTGCCATCCATCTCTTTGATTTCTCCTCTCAAGACTTCAACCATTATTCCAGTCAGCAAGGCCGAGCTCACCAGACCAAAACAGGCCCATAAAGAGATTAGGAGCAGCTACTGGCTGGGTCTGCCCGCCTGTCAAACACAACATTTACCATATCATATAATATAATATAGTTATAACCACCCCATCTTCTTTCTTAAGTGAGAAATTACAAGGTTAGAGGTATTTCTTTTTTAATGATTTACAAATTCACATATTTTAAGTGCAATTTATCCAAAATCAAATTTAAAATGTCTTGTCAATGCCGTTTTTTCCTTGTACCACAGCACAATAAGAGCAGAGCAGAGTGTAGTCCTCCACACTTGTCTGTGAAAGGAAAATCAGAGTCTCCCAGCTTTTTCCAGCTCTGACGATGCATTCATGGTGCAGCCTGATGACATCAGTTGCCAGAAAGAGAGCCGCCTGAGGGAAGATGGCCAGAATGACTCAGTCAAACCAGCTTGTTTTAGCAACCGACGTTGTGGCAACGTAAAAGAGGGAAAGAAGTAAAGAGTAAGAGACAGACAGAAAGAGACAGAAAGAGAGGGACACGGATAAACAAGAAATAAAAAGACAGCAAGTATCCTTGGGACTTTCTCCTTGGATTTAGAAATGTGGTACTCCAGGGGGAAAAAAGGGATCTGGGATGTTTCCACATTCTTTCCTGCCAGAGCTCATTTGACCGAGCAGCAAACTTGGCTCGACTACATGAACGGAGACTGACATTTAAATGAGCCTCTAAATCCTTCACTGGTCCATTCAGGGTCAACAGCACACAGTAATGAGTCTGGAGAAATGGTCCGAAAACTCATCTCAATAAAGGGTTCCTGAATGGACGTCGAGGGACTTAGTTCAATTAGCAGACCAGCAGGAAAAACCAACAGAAACAGCCACTGAAGCTCACAGGAAAGAAGTGATAAGAAGATTCAATCAATAAAAGAACCATGTCTCCAAGTGTAAAACCCTCTGCTCATTTTGTTCTGGATCCAAGCTGAAATGCAGTGGGTTCTTTCTTGGCCAGTGTCCCATCCTTGCACCAGGTTTTGTGGAAATCCATCCAATAGTTTTTTGCGAACAAATAAACCAACAAATTAACAGACGGGTGAAAACAGAACCTCACTGATCATTTATAACGGAGCAGATTGATCAAATGTAATCTATTATCAGTGACTGTAAAATAGGTTTTTATTGACCTGAGGATGAGGAGTTGTCCTGTACTGCGTCCTGTTTGAGGACAGAGGCTCTGCAGTGCTCAGAGGCTGACTGCCCACACTGTGGGGGAGCTGGCAAATCCAACGGAAAACTTAAAAATAACATGTTCCCACATTCGTGAACCTTTTCATAATTAGCAGTTAGTGTTGTCGAGGGTCTTTTAATATTTAGATGAAATGATATTATTATGAGGAATCAATGTTTTACTGAAAACCCTGGCAAATGTCAAAGTTTGCCTTTCAGATAAGAAGAACGTAGCAGGAGATATTCTGTGTCAAACACGTTCACAGGTTTCTGTTTATGGTTGACAGTATAGATATACAGTAAAGCTGTGGGTCCCTCTGTGGAGAGTTTGTTTATCTGTTCTCTTCGTGTTTGCCTGAGTTTTCTCCAGCTTCCTCCCACAGTCCAAAGACATGCAGATTGGGGTTAGGTTATTTGGAGATTCTAAATAGACCATAGGTGTGAATGGTTGTTTGTCTCAGTATGTTGGTCCTACAACACACTGGCGACCTGTCCAGGGTGTGACCAGCCTCTCACCCAATCTTCTGTTGTATCAATGTTCCTGCTTTATGAACCACCACAGGTTTACTCTCATGTCACAGCTCTGTGCTCAGTTTGTTGTGGAAGTATATGTTGATGAAAACAAAATGAAATTGTGCAACCCGAAAAATGCAGTTATTAAAAAGACTGCGACGCCTCAAATTTATTATCAAGAGGGACGACTTGAGTTACTTTCCAGCCTACATACACAAAACACCTCTACACACATCAACATGTGGACAACAATTCAGAAACACACAAGCAGTCTGTCAGAGACAAGTGAGTTTGTGTTGGCAGCCAAGGCCTGAGAGTCCTGCAATATTTATGACCCTGAGGAAACGGTGAAAAGGTTAGAGCGAAGGAGAGAACAATCCAAGAACCCCTGGTTACAGCCGAGGATGCCAAGCCCTGGAGGGACAGGGTCCAAATGTCGCCCTCTCGCACTCACTCGACATTCAGTACAGACACACAAATACTTCACAGCTATGCAGCGATTAGACACCCACAGCACGACGCTCGGTCATGACTCATGCCATTATAGCCTTCCCACCAACAGCTAGCAGTAACGAGTTTGTCACGATAATGCATCATCATCACGCAGCCTCAGCAGGACGGAAAGAGTCAGGTTCATCATAACAAACACAACAGCAGGAATGGACCCATCACTCCCACTGTGATGTGCACTAAGACTCCACTGATGAAGAGACGTGTTACAAACACTGGACAGCTCATTCATAACAGTGGGTTACAGCTAGTGCTCGACCGATTGGCCGATAAAATACAAGCCTTTCACAGACGTATTATTATTGATGTTGTCTACCTTCTCACAATATATATGAAATAATATAATGAGAAATCAGCATTTTCACAGCATCTTCTACATGTACGGCTCCTCTTTTTCATTCCTGAGAAATTTGTATTGTTTTAATCAATTTTGCATCCGTCACATGCTAAAATGTCGACACGGCCACTTGCTCGCTCTGACATTTGGAGACCTTTTTCTGCTGCATTCTCACATGGGCTCCCTCTGACATTTTCAAGATATTTTACCAGCCCCTGTGGTAAAACTTCAGGAAACCGTCCAGAGTTCAGTGCACGTCTGAAAACAGCTCCAGAGTAAAAATTGATCTGTAAACTTCCTTCTCGTTACTGGCTGAAAATGAAAGTGATAAAATTCTTGTGGGATCAGAGACGGTTCTACGATTTCCAATAATAACCAATGTGTCCCCCTTTATCAAAGCAAACACAAACAGTGACAGGATGAAAACGGAGAATTGAAAGTCTACACATTCACCAGGAATATGTTTTACTGAAGCCATCAGGTAAACTCTCATTTAACGCCCCAGCTTAAACCCAGAATGACACATACCAGCCTGACTGTAAGAAGCCTGAACTCTTTGCATTAGAGGGTGAAGTGATCGTCTTTTCATTCTAAGGGCCCCTTCTGTTTAACTTTGTCTTTCAATGGCTTTGCTTAATGCACAAACAAGCAAATCCCTCTGCTGTTCAAACTGTCTACATTCCCCTGTGACTCCATGTGAATTATGCTGCCGACAATTAGCAGGAGTGTGGTGGTCATGTGTCACTAATAAGCTGCAGGGAAGAAAAGGAAAGGACAGAATAGGAAAGGGACAAATTATCAGGACAAATCATTCACCACCCATCATCGTGACGGATAGAGAAAGACAAACTATTTTAAAGATGGCAGCTGTAATTTATTCAAAATTTTCCCATCAAAGCTGTATTTTTTGTCACGTCATTTCACATTTGGACATGAGACATATCTATCTATAAGTGGATTTATTTACATGTTAAACTAAGTAAACCAAAAGCAAATCAGAACTCTTAAAAGCATGCAAACAAAAGTTGAAAAGAAAGATGGAAACTGTAATGACAGACTGCATGAAGGAGGGAAAATTGGAAGGAAAGCAGCATTTTCTCTGCTCTTATAGACCGTTCATTCACACAACGTATAATTCTCATTCTTCAGAAGATCTGCTCGCTCCACAACGCTGCTCTGTAGCCAAGTCTGACCTTTCACTTCAGATGCATGAGATCAATTCTGCTTTAGTAGAACAAAGTAAAGAGAATGTGACTGAGCAGGTCAGGCTGTGCTTAGCTGTTTCTCCATCCATCTGTGTTTCTGTTAGTGGCAGTGTGTGTAATAGGATATTGCACCGTCTGGCGCTGCACCGGGGGCTTGTCAATGGTCTAAACGTGTGTGTAATAGTGTAATGCGCACAAACACACACCTCATCATCAACTCACCCCTGGGGGCTGCCTGAGTTCGACAAAACACTTCTTCAATACACTCTCGTGATAGAAAAACACAGAACTTACACAAGCCCACAATTCGGACACGTCACGTAAGAGACAAACACACCGTGGCACATGAAAAGCCACACACAAGGCTTCTCCTAACAGATGACATTGTGCCAAAAGGCCCCCTCAACTAGTTTAATATGTCAGGCATGCATCAGTGCACTTGTCTTGGCCAGAGGAGGAACAGCCATCGCTGACGTCTGAGTCAATGGACTGTAAAGACGTGGTGCCACTGCCGCCTCAGAGAGACGAGATTGTCCTGGTCAAAGAGACGTGTGTCCTCTGCAACAGTTCAGCACGGAGGCTAACGCTGACATGTTGACACCCGCAACATAAACTGTAGCTGTGTAAGCACACCTACAGTGTTGTATGAATAAGGGAACAAGAGGCGCAAACTATTCCTGGCTGGTGCTGAGGAAGCAAAAGACAAAACATCTATCCAGAACCATCCAAACAAACATAATGATGAAAATAATAAAAGTTGACTGTATTCATACACTGGAGCACATGAGATGATGCTGCTTCTGACACAGGCACTTTTACCATGACATCACTACTAAGAAAGGTGCAGGATTGGACGACTGCCGGACGGGTCGGCTTCAGCTCGGCGCAGCACCAATCGGGACATCGCAAAGCGGATCAGATGTCGAGTCACTACTCCTCTGGTCTTTCCTGTCAGTGTTGATGCTAATGCTACAGAAGCAGAAGCAGAAGCACTTATGCAGTGCCTCAACACAGAGGAGCAGGACAATGAAGGGCATGGCACACAATAGGTTGTGTGTTGCAGGGGAAGCTAAGCTCAGCTGTGACATTCTGTGAGCGTGCATGAGAGAGAAACCGCAAACAGTATTAAGGTATTAGCCAGTCAGTTAGAAATTACTTGCAATTCATTTGCCAAGCACAATGACCTCTGAGCTCTGCAGAAACCAGTCTACCTGCATACGGACGAGCTTTAAAGGCCAAGTCATCTGTGACATGCAACTTTATTTACGCTATCACCACCATTATCATTCAAGATACTCGGAGGACTTGGTTCAGAGTGTGAATGTGCTCTCTGATACTTCGTTAACAGCAATTTCAGGATGTTTCAAATTCTCCCACTGGAATGAAACAGGAAAGTAGTTTGTACAAAGTCCCTTGAGGGACAGTGGAAAAGAATAAATAATGCATGTGAAGCAGACAGAGCTGAATGCTGCACCCAAGTCAATAATAACATAAATAAATGTGACAGACCCATAAAACTGATCCTGAGCCAATGATTATAATTTTATTTCTTCTGTTTTATTGCTACTTCGCTCTTTGTGCAATGCCCTTGACAAGCTAACACAATCATTTCCCAATTTGGGATCAATAAAGTACATCCACCTATCTATCTATCATCTATCTATCCGGTAACCGTGGAGCTTCAAAAGTGACATTAAATTAAAAATCAAATGTGTTGAATGAAGAAAGGATCGTGGACTGAATGGCCTGGAATGTTTTGTTGGGGGGTTCATGTGGAGGATGCGTGATCTCTAAAGGCCAGGCCAAGTGTCGAGGAGGCCAGACGAGCTTTAAACTCGTGTAAACAAACCTGCTCCCCGCTGAATCGCCCTTGCACAAGCCCCTTCACCGATTTCACAATTAGGCTTTGAATCAAAGTCAAATTTCCGTCTGTACGTGAGGTTTATGTTTGCATGGAGTGTGTTTGGAGGCTGGGTGATGATTTGCATCCAGGGGGAGGCTGAGATTGTTGTTTTAAACAATCTGGCTCAACCACTCGACTGGTTCTACCTGCCGCTGCAAGTGTCGAGGGATTAGCCCCTGGCTAGCTAGCTAGCTATCCCCCCACCCCCCCCGAAGCTAGCGGGTTAGCCGGTTTAGCGGGGTGGCCACGTCCCGGGGTCGAGGCGGGGTTAACATCCGATGAAAACGCCACTGACAGTCGGACACCCAGCGGGGGAGCGGGGTCAACGAACCAAACCTCCGGGGGGAAATGCTCCCACCCACGTCCAGTGAAAAATAAACGTGTTTTCCGCTCGTTTAGCTGATGTGTAAGCTAACGAGCTGTGGAAGCTAAGTGTCCGTTGATGCTAACTGACCTGGACAGATGCTTCAGGATCTGCTTCTTGATGAGTCCGGCCATGGCCCTCGCAGATCCGGGGTCCGAGCCCTCGCCGCCGGGTGTCTGTCTGAGAGCTGCCCGGCTAGCTTGTTAGCCGCTAGCTGTTCTCCCCGCTCGAGGCACAAACGCTCAAACTGCGCTCCCGGTGTCGGGCTTCATCTCGGCTGGGCTCCTGCCTCGTTCTCCGGGGGATGGATGAGGCGGCGGGGGGCGGGGAGACGTCATTCCAAGCCAGACGAGGGACACCACCTTAGGTCACTTCACGTGGAATCACTGGTTAGAAGCTCCGCGTCGCTCCGGTTCTTCTCCGCGGTGTCTCACAGAAAACACCCGGACTGAGGCACCGAGGAGCGGCGTCTGTTGTCACGGCGTCCGGGAGGGGCGTCATGGTGCCTTCACGGGCTGCTCGGATACCGCGGCACTTTATTACCCAGGAAAAGTTTGAGTGTAAATTAAAGAAATTATTCAATGAATCAAGTTTTTACTGCAGATTTATTCACTCATTCTTTTGGTATAAAAACAAACTGCACAGGTTTGATAATGAAAA